TTTATTTATTTATTTTTTTTTTTTTTAATGGAGGTACTGGGGATTGAACCCAGGACCTCCTGCATTTGTTAAGCATACACTCTACCACTGAGTGATACCCTCCCCTCTCCGTTGTCAATTGTGTAGGTGTACCTATTACAGATTTTTGGTTTGTCATTACCAATCTATATGTCTATACCTATTTCTATATATCTAGATATACAGATAGAGATATATATGATTATTTTAAGTTGCTGATCTCTCAAGTTCAAATATTTTTAACATGAATTTTTACTCACCCAACCACATTTACTGTTTGACATTATATTTTACATCATTTTGTTTTGTGTATTCCTTAATAATTTATTACAGATATAGATGATTTTAGTACTTCTGTCTTTTAACCTTTCTACTAGTTTTATGCATAACTGATTTGCTACCTTTACTGTATATTTGCCTTTACTAGTGACCTTTTTCCTATTGTAATTTTCATGTTTCTAGTTATGGCCTTTTATGTTTTACTTAGAGAAGTCCTTTTAACATTTACCATTAAGCTGGTTTGGTGGTCCTGAACTCTTTTGGCTTTTGCTTGTCTGTAAAACTTTTGATCTCTCCAGCAAATATGAATGAAAGCCTTGCTGGGTAGAGTATTCTTGGTTGTAGATTTTCCCTTGCATACTTTAAATATATCATACCACCCACTTTTGGCCTGCAGAGATTCTGCCGAAAAGTCAGCTGATAACCTTATGGGAGGCCCTTTGTATGTAACTTGTTGCTTTTCCCTTGCTGCCTTTAATATTCTCTCTTTGTCTTTAATTTTTACCATTTTAATTATAATGTGTCTTGTTGTGGTCCACTTTGCATTAATCTTACTTGGAACTATCTGTGCTTCCTGGACTTGGATGTCTATTTCCTTTTCCAGGTTAGGGGCATTTTTAACTATTATGTCTTCAAATGTGTGCTCTATCCCTTTCTCTCTTTTCCTTCTAGGACTCCAATATTGCAAGTGTTAGTAGTATGCTTGACATTGCCACACAGGTCTCTTAAACTGTCCTCATTTCTTTTTATTCTTTTTTCTGTTCAGCTTCAGTGACTTCCACTACTCTGTCTTTCAGTGCATTGATCATTCCTCTTTATCATTTAATCTACTCTATATTCCTTCTAGTGTATTTTTCATTTCAGTTATTGTATTCTTTATCTCTGTTTGGCTATTCTTTATATTTTTTAACTCTTTATTACATTTCTCACTCTGTTTATGCCTTCTTCTCCTGAGTTCTTTGAGTATCTTTACAGTCATTACCTTGAAGTCTTTATTAGGTAGGTTGCCTGTCTCTACTTCACTGATTTCTTCATTTGGGATATATGCCTCTGTCACCTCATTTTGCCTAATTTTCTGTTTTTATTTCTATGTATTTTGTAGATTGATTATGTTCCCCAACCTTGGAGAAATAGCCTTTCATAGGAGATGTCCTATGTGCCCTGGAAGCTCATTCCCTTCTGATAACAGAACTATATGCTCTAGGGGTGTCTCCTGTTTGAGCTGTTTGGGTCCTTCTGTTGTGGCAGGCTGTCTACTGTGGCAGTCTAGAAGGTGTAGCTGGCCCCTAGTTGGTTGGTTGCTGGGATATTTCTTGCATGGAGGCTTCCCACCAGTGGTTGGTAGGGTTTGATCGTGAGGCTGCTGCTGATGGGATCCTGGGAAGTCCAAAGGCAAATGCTGGTCCTCTGGTGGGTGAAGCCAGGTTCTAGAAATGATTGTCCAAGATCTAGTGTTGGAGGGCAGGGCTAATTCCCGTCACAGCTGGCTGTGGGGTCCAGTATGTCCCAAAGCTGGTATTGGCCCACTAGTGAGTGGGGCTAGATCCTGGGTTGGCAGATTGAGAGGTCCAAGGTAACTCAAAGGTGTCTACCTGCTGGTGGGTGGGGCCAGGGCCCAGAGTATCCCAAGGCTAGTGCCAGCTCACTGGAGGTTGGAGCCACATTCATGGGTCTCTGGCTATGTCCAAAAGAGGGCCCTGGAACAGACACTTGACACACCAGTGTGCTGGCACTAGCCCTGGGACCTACAGGGCTCTGTAGCTAGAGACCTTGGGACCTAGCCCTGCCCATCAGTGGGCAAGCACCAGCCCCAGGACAAGCCTCATCCACCAGTGGGTATGCACCAGCTCCAGGACACCTCTTGGCCCCATCAGCAGGAAGAAACACCAGAGACTCCAGGACCTAGCTCTGCCCACCAGTGGGTAAGCACTAATCCCAGGACTCAGAATCACCCATCAGTGGGTGGATAGTAGCTCCAGGACCACTACAGCCCCCCAGCGAGGTAGCCCAGGATCCAGCCTCACACACCAGCAGGCAGACACTAGTTCTGGGACCCACAGTGCCCGGTAGCCAGATCCTGGGGCAGTTATAAGTTCAGCGGGTCTTAGGACAGCAGAGCAGCTGATAGATGGGATGGAGCTGTGACCCTGCCCAGCTAGTTGCTTGGCCTGAGGTGTCCCAGGACTGGTGCTGATACGCTGCTGGGCCGGGCCAGGTCCCAGCACTAATAAGATAGAGGAGGCTTCCAAAATGGCATTTGCCAGCACCAGTGTCCGCATGGTAGAATTAGCTCCTCAGAATGGCTCCTGCCAGTGTCTGTGTCCCCAGGCTGAGCCCTAGCTGCCTTCTGTGTCTGTGGGAGACTCTCCAAAATCAGGAGGTCAATCTGACCCAGGCTCTTATCAAATTACTGCTTCGGCCCTGGGTCCTGCGGTGTGTTAGATTTTATGTGTGCCCTTCAGGAGTTGAGTCTCTATTTCCTACAGCCCTCTGGCTCTCCTAAAAGCAAGCACCCGCTGTCCTTCAAAGCCAAATGTTCTGGGGGCCTTCTCAGTATAGCACCCCCACACTGGGGAGAGTGATGTGGGACTTGGAGCCTTTGGGAGAACCTCTGCAACTGTAATTATCTTTCTGTTTGTGGGTCACCCAGCTGGGTGTATGGGTTTTACTCTACTGCATTATTTCTCTCTCATACTAGATTGTAAGCTCATAATAAGATCTTAAGTGAAGACCTGAATTTCATTAAATCTTTGTTTCCATCAAATATCCTAACAACGCTGCTTGTTTTTGTAAGTGCTTAATTGTATTATGTTATCAAACAAAAATGCCAAAATATATTCAGGATAGAATATGTAAAAAGAAGGAAATGATACATTTTTAAAGTGTTTCATCCAGATGGTAATTAATAAAGTTAAGCTTCTTGAAGGAGGAAACTCAGCTAAGTGAAAAATCTGGCTATTTAGAATCTCTTGAATTCAATATAACTAAGGTTTTATCCTTGTTTCTAGTAAGGTTATGCCCTTAGATGAAGAATCTCTGGCTCACTGGCAAAGCTATCATTAATATTATAATACCAAAAAATAGAAAATGGGGGAAAAAAAGGAAAGTTATACCTTTTAAAGCCCAATCTTTGCCTCATACCTGGAATTTTCAAAGAAATACAGATCAAGAGACATAAAATGCTATGAAAACTAAACTCAGATCTTAACATGTTTCATAGCAGTTAGAGGGCTTATTGAAGTAAAACTGACTCATTAAAGACCGCTGAACAGCTTTATAGATGATCCAGAAGATGATTAAAGGACTGGAAACAAAGACTGACACTGAGAGGTTAATAAAGCTGAAACTATATAACTTGATAAAGAAAAGACCCAACAGTCATTTAATGCCAGTCTTTTTTAATTTTAATTTTTTATTGAAGTATAGTTGATGTACAATATTATATTAGTTTCAGGTGTACAGCATCATGATTCAATGTTTTTATAGATTATACTCAATTTAAAATTATTACAAAATAATGGCTGTATTTCCCTGTGCAGTACAATATATCCTTGATGCTTATTTGTTTGATACATAGTCATTTATATCTCTTAATCCCCTATCCCCATCTTGCTGCTCTTCCCTTTCCCTCTCCCCAGTGATATCCACTAGTTTGTTCTCTGTACCTGTGAGTTTGTTTCTGTTTTGTTATATTCATTCATTTGTTTCATTTTTTGGACTCTATATATAAGTGATAATACAGCGTACTTATCCTTCTCTGTCTAACGTATGTCCCTAAGCATAATACCCTCTATGTCCATTCACATTGTTGCAAATGGAAGAATTTCATTCCTTTTATAGATTAGTAGTATTCCATGGTATATATGCCACATCTTCTTTACTCATTTATCTGTTGATAGGCACTTAGGTTGCTCTCATAGCTTGGCTACTGTAAATAATGCTGCTGTGAATATTGGAGTGCATGTATCTTTTCAAATTAGTATTTTTGTTTTCTTCAGATACATACCCAGGAGAGGAATTGCTGGATAATGTGGTGGTTCTATTCTTAGTGTTTTGAGGAAAGTCCATACTGTTTTCGATAGTGGCTACACCAGTTTACATTCCCACCAACAATGTACTAGGATTGCCTTTTCTCTACATCCTCATCAATATTTGTTATTGTGGTCTCTGATAATAGCCATTCTGACAGGTATGAGGTGATATCTCATTGTGGTATTGATTTGCATTTCTCTAATAACTAGTGAGCATCTTTTGATGTGCCTCTTGGCCATCTGGATATCTTCTTTGGAAAAAAAATCTATTCAGGTCTTCTTTCCATTTTTTAATTGGGTTGTTTGCTTTTTTGATATTGAGTTGTATAAGCTATTTATATATTTTGAATGTTAACCTCTTATCAGTGATATCGTTTGCAAATAATTCTCACATTCAGTAGCTTGTCTTTCCATTTTGTCAGTGATTTCCTTTGCTGTGCCAAAGTTTTAAGTTTAATTAGGTCCCATGTGTTTGTTTTTGTTTTGGGTTTTTTTTGCTTTAGGAATTAGATCCAAAAAATACTGCTATGATTTACGTCAAAGAGTTTTCTGCCTGTGTTCTTGTCTAGGAGTTTTATGGTTTCTGATCTTATATTTAGGTCTTTAATCCATTTTAAGCTTATTTTTGTATATGGTGTGAGAAAATTTTCTAATTATTTTTACATGTAGCTGTCCATGTGCCAGTCTTTAAACATACAAAGGGATTTTATTCAGTGAGTGGTGGCCAGCTCTTTTCAAACTTGAATGTGCATAGTACATTATAAAATGGGTTTAAACTAAATTAAGAGGGACATAATTTTGTTTGGAATAATTTCCTATAAGCAATGAAGTTAAGTTATTGAATAAATCTTCTTCTCTGAAAGAGATGAGAGTTTCCCTCCATATTTTGGGGGCTCTATATGCTGCTGTTGGAAATGCACTGATTGTGTATCTTGAGCATTCTTCTCACAATTTTATATTGTCATAACTTCAGTAGATGGAACTATCCCAAAGCAAACTCTTCCTCCATTGGTTACTTCTCATTTACCCCACCTAACAAAGCCATATGTAAGTTTTACATCTTTGAGAAATTTTTAATAAAGCAATGAAACCTTCTGTGAACTAGTTTTGTCATTGAGATAGATGAGATTCTAGTTTCTGAACAGCTGAAGGGAAATGATTAGCTGCATGTAAAGAAATAGGTATAAACTATCATTGCCGATATTTTTACTATAGAATTTTTCCATAAAATAATTTATCTTCAATTACTTTTTTCCTAAGAGTTACATTTTAGACTTTGGCATTTGGTCCAATTCTGTATAATTTTGAATTACAGAAAAAAATAGATATATTAAGTGACTGGTATGTTATGAACATCTTTTTCTAAGATTCAAGGAACAGATTGTTTGAATAGCTTTTTTTTAAATTGAAGTATAGTCAGTTGCAATGTGTCATTTTCTGGTATACAGCATAATGTCCCAGTCATGTATATACACACATATATTTGTTTTCATATTCTTTTCCATTAAAGGTTATTATAAGATATTGAGTATAGTTCCTGTGCTATACAGAAGAGATTTGGGGTTTTTATTTGTTTTTATATATAGTGGTTAACCTTTGCAAATATGAAACTCCCAAATTTATCCCTTCCCACCCCCTTTTCCCTGATAACCATAAAATTACTTACTATGTCCACAAGTCTGTTTCTCTTTTGTAGTGAGTTCATTAGTGTTCTCTTTTTTCTTTTTTTGATTCCACATATGAGTGATATCATGTGGTATTTTTCTTTCTCTTTCTGGCTTACTTCAATTAGAATGACATTCTCCAGAGACATCCATGTTGCTGTAAATGACATTATTTTATTCTTTTTATGGCTAAATAGTACTCCATTGTATAAATATACCACAACTCCTTTATGCAGTCATCTGTTGATGGACATTTAGGTTGCTTCCATGTCTTGGCTATTGCATATAGGGCTGCTATGAATAGCTTTTTAAGTGAGGTATAAAATCCTTAAATCCCTATTCTGTCACAGCTTTCCTCACAAAAATGACAATAATCTGACTGAATTTCTTAACTAAGTTATGCAGAATCATCCACGTCAAACATTTACTTCATTCGTGATTTGGAGAAGCACAGTCTGGCAGTGTTAGGCTCACAGTATAAACAAAGACATCTAGGTAAATTCCTTTGCCTAATGTTACTCACTGGGTCTGTGTGGCAGAGCACTGATTAGAACCCAGATTGTGGATTTCCAGGTTAATACAATTTCTAGCAAATCAAGGTACTTTTTTTTTTTTGGCTGAAGAATTTTTATTACCTTTATGTACAGAAAATTTGGTAGGGTACACCTAGCCCAATTGGTGGCCAGTTCTTTGGCCTTTGCCTTTTCCAGCTTGACAATGCGAACCACTGATTTTGGAACCAGGATACTGCCTCCCCAGTGACAGTGGATCTCGTCTTTGTAATTGGTCCTGATGGCTTCCACCAGCTTGGCCAGGGCTCCTTTGTCTTCCAAGTTCACCTGCGTGAAGGCAACGGTGGTGCAGGTCTTTCTGTGGACCAGGCGCCCCAGCCTGGCCTTCCCCTTGGTGATGCAGTAGGGAACCCCCATCTTCTGACACAGGGCAGGCAGGAAGACAACCAGCTCAGTGGGGTCCACATCATGTGCAGTCACCACCAGCTGAGCCTTCTTGTTCTCCACCAAGGTGGTGACAGTATTAATCCCTAGAACACACAACCCATTTGCACCAGAGGGGTGGGAGCTGCTGTCCACAAGAGCAGTTCTACTGTGGGCCCAGCTATGGACTCAGGGTTAAAAAGCTCAATTTCACGCTTCACAGCGATTCCAGGTGAAGAAATTCATGCATCACTGCCAAATCAAGCTACTTTTAACCTGTGGAGTTATATGTCTCCTACAACTAACTCATTAACATTGGGTGAAGTCACTTAAATGATTATGTAACCAAAATACTCTGAAGGAAACTTCCCTAGAAAGGTTTCAGTAGTTGCCTTTTAATATTCATCATTCATTCTGAATCCAAATGGCTTGCTCTGAAAGTATTCTTCTCATGATCATGTCTTCAAAGCATGCTTATTTTGAAATCAACACTTGTTTAGTAGCATGAAAAAAAGTTCGTAATAGTTTTGTGAGAAAAAACATTACACAACAAAATGTAAACACACACACATCACTTCTCTGAAAAGAGGAAGCAAACAGAGATACTAACCATGCTTACCTTTGAGTGATCACATTTTGAGTTTTTTTTCCCATTTCCTTGCTTAGCTATAACTTTTAAAATCCAACGATAAACATGTACTGCTGTTCAAGTCCAAAAGAAAATCAAAAGGCTCTCATGTCAATTTTCTTCTGATTTTGATTGGGGACATAATTTAAAGTGAGAGTACTTGAGAAACTACTTTGCATTTTGTAGGTCACATCTACAGCAGCAATGCATAACTAGCATTTGAGGCTATCAGAGAGCCTGCCTAATTGTGATCATTGTCCTAAATAGATATTTACAATGAAATGATTTGGACTTTAATACTGCTCAAAAATGCCCTCAGATATTAACATCTTAGTGGCTAAAAAGCTACCAAATTTGACATTCAGTATATTAGGTAATCTGAATTAAAAGCACTACAGTCTGAAAGAAGGTTTAATTTTTATTAGGGCAAAAGCAGTCTACTAAAAATTATGCATTTTTAGTTTTCAGTGCATAACTCCTATTGTATAAATGTTATTGATTTGCCTATAAGGTTGTAATTACTCACTATTTCATGATCTATTCAAATGGTTCAATCAACACTCTTTCACTAAGAAGTTAAAATCATGGAAATAAATCAAAAGTATTTAAGGAACATAAAACATTATTTTTACATTATGGTGCTGGTTGAACATATTTTAGGAATATGTGTCCTTTTAAACTCTCTTGGTCTCTCAGTGTATAATCGATCTCCCTTAAGATCTAGGATATCTTAACTTAGAATCACTAGCTTAACTTTTAATCACTGAAATAAGTCCACTTACTGGCATCTGGTTTTCAGTATAAGACAGTGCACCAAAATCTTGTTTAAAGTAGATTTTTATATTCTTGAAGCAGAGCTTAGGTATAGCTCTATTTGAATGACCCTTGCTTTGCCTAAAATCATTGAGGCTGGAAAAATTCTTTGTAACAATTTATTTAGGAACTCCAAATCAAACTCTGCCAATTATTAATAATCAATTAGCAAGTCAGCCCTGGGATTTAGTTTTTCTGGAACCAAAAAACTTTAACTCCATAACCCTTTTTATCTGATTTAATCTTCATCCCGTTAATCATTCTTACTGTTATTTCTTGGATTATTCTCTGTATCTTTTCCAATTAAGTTCTTCTGAAGTTATTTGTCTGTTATTACCACCATAGTTCAGCTGTGGAGAGGGCTTCATATGACTGGAATTCTTGTACCTTTTGAGTCTTGCTAAGGAAGGCCTAAAATCCCACTGCTCCAAATACGTTTTCATTCTGTTTGTTTTTAAACTGTTCACTTTGTAATCTGTAGCATTTGAGGTAGGAGAGAAGGGAGATGGACATTCTCCCAACAGAGTAAAAATAGTTAAGGGCTGACTTTGAGACATTCAGTCTCCCAGAATAATGATTTGGGCTCTGGTGTCAAAATTGTATCTGGGAATATGAACATCTGGGCCTAATGAGATATCAGCATGCATTTAAATCATGAGTAGACAGTGTTTCTCCAACCTGGTCGCTGCTGGCTACATCAATAGAAGAATTGTCAATGATTAGAAAAGTCATTCTCTGACATCTGTTGGCCAGCTATCTTCCCCAGATAGGGCAGATTTAATCACTTTGGAAAGCAATTCCATTCATGGTTATAATAAAAATGAGATAGAAGGCAAACTTCCAGCTGTTTTTCCTCCAAGACAGACAGACAGACAGACACACACACACACACACACCCTCTTGTGTAGAGAGCTAGCCTGCTTCTTGGCCTACCTGTGAGACTCACCAGAGGTGTCCTGAGAAAGGATTTCACAGACAGCTGACTGGACTTGTTAATGTTAGTAACTGCTATTCAGACAGCTTTTAAAATGCAAATATTATTCAAGGTGAGAAATACATTCCTAACAGACCTTTTCTTCATTAACTCTTGTTATTTTTGGCAGAGCCCAGAGGACACACACATTTTAAAGACAAGAAGAGGGAAGGAGAGGTCAGACTTAACAGGTGTTTGCTGCCCCAGAGCATAGATGAGAGGCAGCCCTGGAGCTGAGGGAGAGGGGCAGGAGGGAGAGGGCAATGCTGGTGGGACTCCACTACCTTAGGTTTCTGCCCAGCCCACGCCCCGTCTGATATAAACATGTCTATTAGCACACTCAGATGCCTTCTGTGCTATCAATAACTTCATGTTCATGGAGTAGGAGAGTGAATCCTTCTCTTCTTCCCTCTGCATTTAGTCGTCGACTCAAGAGAAAAATAAACCTAGTCCTTTTTTCAAATGTTCTTTCAGGAATATCAGGAAATTCATTTGAACAAAGTATGATAAAATATTATCCATATTTAAATGAAACAAGTATGGAAGTCAGACGGGATAAGGACAAGTTGTAAAGGATTAAAAGCATTAAAAATTATTCTGAATCAGGTAAAGTCTGGTCCTGAGCTGCTGCAAAGTCCCGTCCAACTCTAAGATTACAAAGTTTTATCACCTGTATTTGTATGACATATCAAATTTATAAAATACCTTCACATATATTATCTAATTTGATTTTTACAGCAGCTTTAAGTCAAAACACATGAGCCCACAGATAAACTGAGGCTGAGAGATTTTGGATGATTTTTCCAAAGTCATCAACTCCTTGTCATGGTTGAATTCTGATTACGACTCCCAGTCCAATGTTTTACAGCCTTTAATTCACATGATACGCATGCAAAGATGTGAGATAAGTTATATCAACATATTGGTAAGCCTCTTGGCTAAGATAGGGTTCTAAATGAGCAAATTCATGCAGATAAACTCACTAAAGCTGTTTTTATTCTGCTGCCTTATTAGCATGCCCAAATGTGGTAGACATATGGTCCCTGCCTTCAAGAATATTAGCTGTTAAAGATAGCAGAATTGTAAATTAGTTCCCTTTCCACTGTGTTAGGCTCTTTCAACATGCAAGAAGCACATATACTCAGGTTCCAGGTAGAGTTTATAGTTGGGATACAAGAAGAGGGAAGGACAGAACCTGGTCACCTAAGGCCTTAAGGAAAACTAGGACATCATTCCAATGATTACAACTGCATCTTTACAGTTCGAGATCCACAAAAGCTGGAGAAGTCAGAGGGCATCTCTGGAAAGCCAGTGAGAATATACACCTCCTGTGCCTAGGATTCTACCATCACCACCCTCCTTATTTCTCTGGTTGTTTGTTTTTATTCCATGTAAATTAACCTGCCTCTACACCTCTTTTTCTCTGTCTCACATCTTTTATTAACTAGAGCTGATTATCATTACCTTCTTGGGTTATATTACCTTTTATTTTTCTGAGCTATTCTCCTTTGGTCTTATTCTTTTCTTGGAGGATCGGTTTGAGTGTGCCAGACACCAGGACAGATTTGCTGGGGCTCTAATCACCTTTATAGGTCTATTGCCTATGTCTCTGAGTCATGTTCCCCACCCTCAGCCCCTATCCAGTCAGCTTTCCCAAGGGTTGTGTAGTCATGTTGCACAAACCATAGTGACCATAGGCAAGGATTCTATCCCAAGGTTGGGGGCATGCTAGTAGTCAGAGACCTCTCATGGCAACCTGAATGCACTACACTAACTGACATTCCTTGGTTTTTTTATCTTAATTTGCTAAATGTTTTTAAATATTTTATTTTATTTTAAGAAGTCTGATTTATTGATTCCTGTCTATTCACTTGGACCAACTTGGGCCAGTTTTCAACTCAACATAAATACATAAAAATAAATGAATATAAACATTTCAGTAGCACTTGAGATAGTGAGAAATTTGGATAGCAATAATAACAAAATCAAGAAGTAGAAATCCTCTTATCCTATGCAATCAGGACCAGTAATTAGTCAAAAATTTAATGTGAGGAATTTTTTAAAATGATATATTGTTTGAAGATAATATTTTAGCTTATTATGTGTAAATATTTTTTATTGGAGTGTTCCATGGTAGTCCATGTTGCATGAAGACCATCATCCCTAATATGACAATCTGTAATTTCCAATTTTGGCTTCTTTAGAGTAAAGTAAAAATGTAAACACATTTGCAAATTAATATTGGTGCATAAGTGTTAAGATTTTGAGAATATTTTCCCAATCATTTATAAATTTCTTATCTACACCTAATTTAAAAAGAAAATTTTATTTAGAAACACAAGATTATCATGCCTAAATTAGAGAAATGAACTTAGTTTTGATAGAAATAACTATTTTCCACTCATATTTCTTTCAGTTAAATATCTGAATGAATTTTTAAATTTTAAATAAAATAATTTAAAATGACATTAAAATATTAAGTAACATAAGGCAACAACAAAACTGACTTTTGCTAAGTCTATAACACAACTGATGGGAACAGAAGTACCAATATGGCTTGGAGAATAAAATAGTCTTTGGTTATGAGTGTTTGCTGTGCCATGAGCATCAGTCATTGTGATTTACAGAGGGAAAACAGACACTCCAAGTGAGCTAAGGGATTTTTCTATACATATACTCCACCTGGCTCATAATTTCTCTTTGGTTATAATAACATGTAAGCTTTAGAAAGATGTAAAGTAGAGATAAAATTCCACTGGTGAATTTTAAATAAAGATAATTTTACAATAAACAGACAGAAGATCTAGACATTTCTCCAAAGAAGGCATACAGATGACTAACAGG